TTAGAGGAAACTTTACCATGGTAGAGGCAGGAAGTGTTGGAACCCAGTGGAGGGAAAGCAAGTGCCAATAGGGACAAAGATGTATCATGAATGTTCCTCTTTTTTCCATGTTTGGGTAGGTCTTGACTATGGACTGAATTTATATGGCTATATAATGTTAGAAACTGTCTTTGAAACTATGTAGGGAAAGCCAGAAATTCTTTAAATTGGAATTTACTTATGTATGCAAAGATACATAGGAAAGGCAAATAAACTATTTAACAGTCATCTTTTACGAGAGCCAACTGCATCTCTGTTTAATATTCCAGGCAGCATATAAGTAGAGACCAGTCCTCTTCATGCTCCATTGCTAAACTCAGCCAGCACCCACAATACCTTCTGGTTCATCATTTTAAGGAAAATTACTCTGTAACTTCCATCATGGGTGGAATAACAATTAGATGTATGGCCCTGAGCTCTATAATACCAATTTTTTTCAAATTCCCCAATATAATTTCAAATTTTTAAGTTCAAATTAACTTAAAAATTTCAACCATTTATGTTGTTTTGAAGCAAGCTCTGAGTACTAATTTTTTACATTTCTGAGATTTAATGAAAAGGAAGATAAAGTACATCACTCCATTTTAAGAGTCCTTCATGTCAGTAGTTATGCTGAATATGTTTGTTTATTTCCAAAAAAACGGAAAAGTTACTTTACAGACATCCCAACTTCTTTCCTAAAAATATCCTTTTTCATCAGCTTAATCATTGAAGCCAGGCTAGTTGTTAATTCAAAGAGGAGAATCAGAATCTGATAGACCACAATAAACCAGTGATCCCAAACACTGAAATCTGGCTTCTCTTTCAAGGACCCTAAATTTCTCAGAAGCCTGTCCCTCTGAATCTTCACCATTTTATCTTGGAAGAGTGAAGGGGAACTCAGAAAATAAACCCAGAGGACCACTTTTCTTCCTGACCAGTAACAGATATTCCAGCACAACCATACTAAACAGAAATTGAAGCAAAGCATCTATACTGGAGCTGCCAAATCATGCATGAGAAACAATATAGCACAAGCTAATGTGTCAAAGCAATTACCTAACTAAGGCCAATTGTTAGAATCACAGTGAATTCATGCTTGAGACACACTGCAAAAAGCAAGCCCTCAAAGGCATATTCAGAATCTAGCAGTCTTCCTCACACTGAAAGGCAAGTGAAATTCTATTTGATGTTCATTTTAGCTTTTCAGTGCTCTTAAAGGCAATCAACTATACTGATTTTCTTGCTTTTCTGTTTGAAGTTGCTTAGTGGTTCAGTAATACATCAAGAAAAACACACATAATATTAGTCCATAATTGGAAACAGAATCTTAGTTCCTTTCAAAGGGAAAATGGCCCAGAATTAACATCCTCTTTCTTTTTAATTTAGAGTCTAGTGCAGTAAGAATAAGAATGATCGCCTCCAAAATCAGAAGTATAGTAAATACTCCATAGTTAGGTTATTCTGCCTGAATGTGTTTAGGGATTTTCATGTCTATGGAAAGATAAAAATGAAAATTTCACAATCAGACCTAGATCTCTTTCCAGCCTCTTAACACATCTACTGGAGCCAAGTGGAAGAAACCTGATGCTGATGTATACCAGATCCAACAGCTGGTCTCCCCAAGGAAGTGGATTAGCAGTATGATCACAGTACACAGCTCACTGCAGAAAAGTTCTCTATATAGCCTCCTACTTTTTGTCTTCTGCTAAAATAGTCACCAGAGGGGAGGACAGAAGGATAGTGCATAGCATAATGGCAGATGGCAGGGAGTGGTGATGAAAAGACTCCATCTACCAATGCTAAAAAGGATTGTGCTCTGGATGGTGTATGGTTCAAGTAAGATGTGAATCTTACCCTCCAGAAGTAGAACTTCTGATTCTGGCTTTGAGGCTGATCAGAAGAAAGATAAGAAAGGTGAGACAGTAGGCTAAACATTCAACAGTAACAGTCCAGCTCCTTCTCCCTGTCCCATATTCCCTTCCTTACCTGCTTAAGATCAGACTGAAGAGCCACTCTGAGGCCTTGCATACAAACTTGGTGAAAAGAGAACTCAGAAACGGCAATAGCTAAATAGCTATAATGGTGCTCTTCTGATTCAAAGAGGGTTATTTTTAAATTCGTGAAGGTTGTGCCCACAGGTTCTTCCAGGATGCTTTTGGAGAATGATGATCTCAAAGCAAATCAGTTAGAACTCAATGTCTTGATGACGGCAACAAGCATCAGGCAGGCCTTGTAGCTGCAACATAAGCTTAAGCTCCCCAAATAAATCCAGTGTTACAAACAGAACCACTCTCTCTACCACATTGCATGGTAAACCTATTAACGTGACATTTACCCTGTAATCAAAACTCTTATAAAACATTTCTATGAACTTTTCCTGTATTTGTCCAAATCCTGGTGGAGCTCTGTTTGATGATATTAGAGAACAAAACTATCGTGTTATCAGTGATAAGTGTAGTTACTATTTAAAATGTTAACTTGCTCACAGTTTTACTTCTTTCGTTTGAATCTAGCATCCTCTAGACTACTGGTTTTCAATCAGGGATGTACATTAGACTTACCTATCGAGTGTAATAAAACTATGGATGTCTATGACTCAGTCCATATTTGAATCTTTTAGGATTATTATGTTATATCTTAAGGGTTTTGTTCCTCTGTAAAAATTATATTCATTCACTTTAATAAAATCGGAAGAAATATTATCCAATTTCTTTGAAAATAGGCATACTCATTATCTTTCAAGATATTCTGTCTAATTTGGGGGAAATAATTATAATGTCTTCTTTTGCGTGTCGCATTGCTTGCTACTCTTATTATAAACTCTCATCAGATCTTTCATACTCTAAAATTATCAGTAGTAAACTAACCACACCATTTCAGTTTCTGTCATCTATAAACGGTTTAATTTTCTTCTAATGCTTGCCTGGGACTTTACTCAGCTTTAGGCCAGAATTTGTGTCTTGGGCAAAGAAGAATCTCAAGAATCCATGGTAAAGGACCAGACACTTTAAATAACTGACACTTTAAAGGACAGACTCATGGATACTGGTATTTGATGATACCAGTAGGCTGAGTCAGGATTTGTAAAACTCTAGAAGAGAAGCAGACAGCTCCATGATACTGCTAACTACGATCAAGAGGAACAAGAATTATTACATAAGACTGAATGGACTGATAAGGGAAACTTTATTGTAATTATTTGATTGGTATATAGTTGTCTTATTGTTCTATTTTGCGAGTCTGTAAGGTGTCTCTTTCTACTTCAGCTATCTGTAACCCATAACAATCTAGTAGAGACTGCTCGTGTAAACTGAAATGAAACATTTAAAAATGATATGCATCTTACTACCACCAGAGTTCAGAAACTCACAAACAGATGTCCTTACTTTTTTGGCATAAGGTTATTTATATGCATTCAATAATAATCTGTCTTCCTTTTAACAAGAATATAATGGGAAAAATCCATTATGCAACCAACATCTTACCTGGAATGCAAGGTATTTGAGAATGAAGTTCAGTGAATGGAATAGAACAAGTCACTCAAATTCCAGCGGGAATTTCACCAGTAGTCTGAGATTCCAGTGCTGAATTATGTACAAAGACTATATAAACATAGTTCTCTCCTGAAATCTTCCTGTGTATGAGCAACAGGTTGAGACTTACATACCCCATTAGCACCTTGTTACAAGAGACAACTGTGTAATTTCTGTGAGGTTACTACAGAATGACAAAAAAGAAAGCACTCAGAGGAGACACAGCTGGTCACACTAAAGTTCAGGATGTCACAAGTGACCCTGGAAGGAGATTCAAGGTCAGAGCCTCCCTGGGATCATTCAGATTCTCGGGACAGCCCTTTGGAAAACTGTGCCCTCCCCAGCACGACTCTCCTAGTTAGGCAGGTGTTGGAGTTAAACATTTAGGAACAGTCAGGGTCTCAAGCTTATCATAAGTCAAATGACATTTCACACTCACCTCTCTGCAGTGAGGGTTTATACTCAGTTTAAGATAATAACAACACAGCTTCATGAATGCAGAGGGCACTTTCATTTCACTGCAAAATTAACTTGACTAAATAAGAGGTCACAATGCCAAGGAAGAAGGGAGATTTAAAAAAACCACAAGGCAAATAATAAAATTGCAAGGTCAAACAAACTGCCCAGCCAAAGTTGTTCTAACAGGGAGATCTCCTGGTACCCATTTGCTAAGCAGGACTGGACTTAAAAGTTATTACATAATTAACCTATTACACTTACAGCCATCCACATTATCTTTAAGGTTAGCATCTAAATGGTAACCAAAAAAACAACAAAGTTAACATTTATGGAACATCCATGTCTCAAAAACTATTTTAGGTGCATTACAAGTATAATCTCAGTGTTGGGAATATTAACCTCCTAGTAAGATTAAAGTAGATTATATTTATTTAATCTCTTTTAAAAGCATCATAAATTACGTGGGGGATTTTTAAGATAAAAAAACCAATTCCTTTGCTACATTCCCATACAACTATAAAAAAAATTTTTAAATAATAAAATGTCAGTTAATTACCAGAATTTATTGGAAAGATGCTTCCATTCATGTAACTACTTTCCGACCTCAGAAAACCAGATACTACACATGCAAACATGCATGTTTAAGCAATTTTACAAAACTGCAACCTAAAAAGAAGGGCTCCGGGGAAAACTGGGACTTTTGATTTTGCTGAGCAGGATCCCAAGTCTGGGGCAAGAGAACGTCCTCGATGAATGAACACAGAGAGGCCTTCCTCCTCCTTCCCTGTTCCTTTATACCAAAGCCTGGTATTTAAGAATATCAGTATGAAAGGACTGCAAATTAGCCAGATCAGAGCACCGAACTTTTAACCAGCATAGCCAATCACCGCCTGCAACATAAAGTGCTCAGATTGTCTTCCAGAACTTGTCCGCCCTCGCCTGAGAAGCGCCCGTCTTGGCAAAGGTCTGAGGAGAAGGAGCTGCTACCTGGCCTTCTCCGTGGCTCCTCCCGCTCTCCGATTTGAAGGTGGCCTTGGGCTTCCGGGACTTGAAGTTGCCCATGCTGGGTCGCAACACGCCGTCCACCAGCACGGTCTGCTCTACATGCTGCTGCGCCTGGCGGGAGAGTGGTGTGTGCTCCTCTACCAGAGCCCCGGCGTCGGGGTAGTTCTCTTTGTTTTCATCTCTAAAACAGGAAAGATCCAATTTAGGAGAAGGAGAGGAGGAGGAGGAGGAGGAGGAGGAGGAGACAGGATGGGGGAGGGGAAGGACCTGCGGGGAAGAAGGCTGGCCATATTTATCACTGCTGTATTTATAGGGTACCTAACAAAATTGTTGGCATGCACTTAGACAATTTTACAGGACCAAGAACTGAAGAAATGTGAATTTCACTCTTTTTATCACTCCACCTTCCCTTCTGACCTTTGTTAGTGAATATATACTTTTTGTAATTTTAACTGTGTATGTACCATCATTATTCCTTTTTAATGTTTCCCTTTAAGATGATTTTGTGTATCTCTTATTTTTCTAATAATAATGTGAGATATTCATGTTAGATATCATCATCCCAATTTTATAAATGAAGACACTAAGACCCAGAGATTGAATAACCTGCCTAATGGAAAGGCTAATTCACGCAGAACCAGAGGGCTCTCAGGTAGGTCTTCAGACTCTCATGTCTATGTTGTTGGCTCAAGGCATGACGCTTCCCCAGCCCTGCCTGTTTTAATTTTCTCAAGAATACTAACATAGTAACACTCTTATTTGAAGCCATTTGTCACATTTAAATCTAGATGCATTTTATTTTTCATTTTGCTAAGAATCAAGCAAATACTATGGACGTGACCAAGTGAAGCCTTCTCATTATATAATCAATAACATTAACCTTAGTCCACTGGCAATCAGTGGTCACTAAATCATGCAGCACAGTGTGTTTTTTTTCACTCATGTTCCCTTGCCAAAGGCACCTATAAAAGGGCTTTTGCAAAGTCATTTGGGAAGCAACTTCTCACTGCTCAAGGACACAGAAAGTCAAGAAGTAGGAACAGCAGAGGGAGGATTTCTATGCCCACTGCTAAAGACATCTTTTCACAAATAAAAGGGAGATTAAATTCACTAAGCTGATATCAGAGGAAGATAAACTTCAAATAGTCTCTGGAAAAGACCAAGGCAAATATTGGGCTAGGTGGTCTGGAGCATGACCAAGGTGCAGTTGGGCAAGGTGTAAAAATAAAACTATGGAAAACAAATAAATTTTAAGTCCAGGACAAACAGTGATGCCCAGTAAAGGAGAACCCAACAAGTGAAATAATTATTTGATGTTAGTAACAGGGAAAAAAAATGCCAAAGATACTAGTTGATATTCTTCCTATAAGATCATTTATAATTAAAAAAAAATTCTAAGTCACTAATGAGTTTGGAAATTAATATCAAACCATGAATTGGAAACTACACTAGCTCATTTGAATTGCATTTACTTCATTAGAAATCCATCCACTCTATGTTGCTGCATGAGAAACAAAAGAAAGAACATCTGCCTTTACAACTACCTGAATGTTCTTCATTCAAGAAGAATTCTGGCACATTCAAAAATTTTTTTAAAAGTAGTTTTCAAATCTAAAATGTCTATTTTGATAGACACATTCCCAAAATAATACCTGAATTTTGCTTTTATGTCATATTTTTAGGTCGCCCAGAATTTATAAATGTGATCTTGTTCGCCTCCTTGACTTGAAAGGTAAGGAAAGGGGGAGAGGGGAAAAAAATATTTCTTCCATTACACAATGTAAAACCTGATTACAACAGCCATCTTTAGAAATATATTTTTCTAACATATTATTAGTTCCTCAGGATCTCCAAAACAGAAAAATACAGGCTATGTAATTTATGCCACTACTCATTGGAATGAATCATGACTGAGAATGAGCATGTTGTTCCGAAAAAAAGTCAGAGTCCAGAAGATTGTCCCACTTATTAGTTGAGTAGCCTGGGTTGCATCACTTTACCTCATGATCCCCATTCATAAAGTGAACGTAATTTTACCTTGCAGAACTAATACAGTTTCTGTGAAGTGTCTCATAGAAAATTGACTCAAGGCTGTGACCCAATAAATGAAAGTTATTGCTACTTTCAGGCAGGGCTTAGCCATGTGGTATTTGCAAGGAAAAAACTGAGAACCTTTTTTAGTTTCCCCAATGCCTCTAAGATAAATTCCAAAGTCCCTAACAAGGCATGCAGGCTGGCATGGTGGCTCAAGCCTGTAATCCCAGCACCTTGGGAGGTTGCAGTGAGAGTATTGCCTGAGCCAACGGGTTCAAGAACAGCCTTGGTGAGACCTCATCTCTACAATAAATCAAAAAATTAGCCAGGAGTGGTAGCGAGCACCGTAGCTCCGGCGACTTAGACTGCTGAGGCGGAAAGATCACCTGAGCCCAGCGGGTTGACGCTGGGGTGGCCATGAGTGTGCACTCTAGCCTGGGTGACAGAGCGACAGAGTGAGACTCCAATTAAAAAAAAACACACACACACACAAAAATCATGTAAACCCTGTAAAATTTGGTCTTCGTTTATCTCTAGAGCATCATTTCTTATCACTTCTTGCCTTGTCACCCCACCTTACTCTCAAAGTTTCTACCATCCTGAGCTTCTTGCTTTCTGCAACTCAAATTATTCTCTCTACCCTCTGTTGTCTTTCTAGTAAGCTGTTCCCTCTGCTTGGTGGCATCATCTTTTTCTTGACCTCGGACCCACTAAATTTTTTAAAAATCATGTGCCATATGTAATTTTCTTCAGGAATTGATCCCAGAAATCTCTCTGAGCTATTTGGTCCTTCTACATGAATCCTCTGTTTACCTTTGATATAACAGTACTTAAATGACTGTAGCATCAGCATCTATATTCTTGCCTATCTTCTCTAGTGAGCTGAATGTCTAAGAGTAGGGACTGGTTTGTCTTCACTCCAAATCTTGACTCATTCCTGGCATACAAAATAGGACTTCAACAAATGTCTGTTATCCAATAAGTGACCCTTAGAGTCAGAAAGACTTGGGTCCTAACTCTGTTTCATAGTGCTATATTATCTTGGATGAACTAGAATTCCTCTGAGCCCCAGTTTCTTCATCTATAGAATGAGGATGGAAATATCAGCTTTCTTTCAGAAGTTTAGATTAAATAATAAAAGATAGATAAAAGTGCTTAGAACAAAGTAAATATGAAAGAAATGGTTAACTGTGATGGTTTTTACCATTGTATCATGAGCCCTTGATGACTAAGACCATACTACAGACACTCAATAACATGTTTGGTGACTAATCTAGAACTTCTTTCTTAGATAAGATGAGTATGATGAGAACATTGAGATAGACTAATTAATGTTCAGTTCAGTAGGTACTGATTAAGCATTCCCCATATATAAAGCACTCTTCTGGATGCTAAGAGGGACCCCAAAGTAGGCAAGACAGAAATTCCTTCTAGAGGTGAAACTCTGGTAGAAGAGATGAGGCATGCCAAGAAATGTTTATTCTTCGTTCTAAAGAAATAATTAGAATTCAAAGAAAAGACTAGAATTTAAAGGAGAACCAATAGACCCAGATGATTTCTGTCTCTCACAAACATGAACTAAGCAATGGTGGGCCATACCTGAGACTGGAACAATCAGCCTGGTCTTCATGTAGAGAGACAGGGTCTTCGTCACACCTGGGGAGAGGAAACAAAAGTCATGCCAGATCCAACTGTCAGCTATAGCAGTAGCAGCAAGAATCTAGAATTACCTCAAGATTAACATGGTAAGCTAAAAATGTAACAATCCTGATCACTCTCTTCCAAACCAACTCTGATACCCAACATGTTTACCAGGTAATGATGACAATGTTGTCATATCATGGGAGCTTAAGAGCTCAGAACTGGACGTGACTTTCGTTTTTGTTTCCATGGCATTCTATCACCTAAGTTAACAATATCTTAGCAAGGACTTGAGTGTTCATACCATTTGAAGAGCTATGTGCACCAAGATCAGTGGATTGTTGTTGATGTAAAAGAGATTTCACGACATGCTGCTTTCATTTTCTCTGCTTCAGACAGTCCCAAACCATACCAGCTTCTACCTGACTTATTCAATTGACCTTGGTCTTCCTTGATCTTAGGAAAAGAATGAGGTTTCTTTTCATAAAACTTCTGGATTAACCTTATGAAAAATTCTTGGCTCTTCCATATTGAAAAATCTTCAGTGTTCCACCCAGATTCTAAGTAGTCTGGAGAGAACCATCCTCTCACTCTAGGAATAAAATTTGCACCTGTTCTCAGCCATTCCCACCCCACCCCACTGAGCCTGATATGCTTTTTCCATCTTCAGCTCCAACTCATCCTTCATTGCCCAAGTCAGGTCCTACCAGATTTGTGAACCTTCCCAGCCAAGTTCACCCACATGTCATGTTCCTACTTTAACCATAATGCATAAATGTTTATTCTTCGTTCTAAAGTTTCAGTAACCAACTACATCTTGCTTCTCATTGCTATGTAATTCTTTGCACCTCTGAGACGTTTTGATTAGTTGCTAATTCCAAGAGTAAAAAATAACTACAATTTCTTTTTCTAGATACATTGTCACAGTGCCAGAGTACCCCGAGTAGAAATTCAAAAAAACACTTGAATTGATATATTAACTCTTCCTCCAGCAAGTCTAATCCGTGAAATAATTTAATAAGCATTTATTGAGCATTTACTGCATGTAGGTACAGGATTAGGTGTTAAAGCTGTTAAAACTCAAAATTGGCCAGTTTGTTTTTTTATTTTCCCAATCCACTGTGGGCAAATACTTTGGTAAAAATGTCACAGCAATGTCCAATTCCTATTAAGGTTATTAAATGTTTACTGCCTATTTCTGTTCTGTTCTTGTCTCACACTTGTAGACACACTTTGAGTAGCACTACTTCTAAAGGACATAAAATTTGAAAAAGATCTGGACTCTGCTTTGATAAATTCATAGTGTTATGAGTAGACAAAAGTAAATAAGCAAATAAATACCTACAGACCTAAATATAACCATAATACAGTATTTACAGTAATGAAATAATTTAAAATTCTAAAATATTCTTTACTGATAATGGTGTATAATTAACCAACAGAATTAATGAAAACTCCAGTCAGCTTCCCTTCTAATTGCTTTTTAGTGAATTAAACAAAGGCTGCCTACAGACTATAACCTTCTCTATCTGCTGAAATATTCTGTCCCCTCTGATAGTTAAAAAAATTTGGTTGACTTAACAAAACGCTCCTTTTAAAAGAATGAACTAAATTTCCTTGCTTCCTTGCCAATAACCTTATCTGTTCATCTTATAAATAAACAATTAAGTTCACAAGTATTGCTTTGTTTTCCTTCATTAGTAGCATTCACCTAACAGAACATCTGGGCATTGTAATGCAAATACAGATGTTTTCCAACAGGAAAGTAGAAAAATCAATTAAGAACAAAAATCTAAAATCACTGGTTCCAAAGAACTAAGGCTCAACCAGAAATTCAGCCCTGGAGCTCAACAATACCTATTGTTTGAGGATTTGGCAAGAGCTTATTTCCCCCCTTATTTGATTTATTAACCTTTCTCCTCAAAATACAATCAGTTAAAAATGGAAACTTGGCACCAGAACATACAAAATTGCAAATGCTTTCTGAAGTACGAGACTGGACCTAATTAGTTGATCCAACTTTAATGTCTTCTGAACAGCTTCAGTTGTTACTCACGGCAACACAATTCCAAGCTCACAGATATAGCACTTGAAATATTTACCTACTGGCTTCTATGGCATACATATTCAACCTCTTTTTGTTCCATTTTCCCCTACTTTGTTTTCACTTACTTTGATAAAGAGCGTCAACTTCTATTCAATTAGCATCTCTTTTCTGCCCTTGCCCAGGAGCCCCCTGCAATGTACAATACTGACCCAGTTTAAAACTGGATTCCACAGCAGGAACCCATATTCAGATATCCCCACTCCTGGAAGAAAATCAACTGACCAAGTGGCCAAATGATCCAAGGCATGGTATTCTCCTACATTATCGCCCTATACAGGATTTAAAAACCAATCCCTTTCATGATCTCCCTCTTAGATATTCAAAACTGGGCATCTTCTAGAGCAATGTTTTTGTTTTTGTTTTTTTCATTGTAGGGTACAATTAAGGGTTAGGTATACAAATATTCATTGTGCAGGTACCCTTGTTGATGAGGTGTGCCCCCCATTCACCAGGCAGATATCGACTACCGTTAATCCCACCTCCCTGTCCCTCCCCCCTCCCGTAGTTTTCCGCTGCCGTCAATCCTTTTCTTATAGTATTACAGTAGTTGTTTGGTTTTTTTTTTGAGTTGGAGTCTCACTCAGTCACCCAGACTAGAGTGCAGTGGCCACTCCCGGCCACCACAACCTCGACCTGCTGGGCTCCAGCGATCCTTCCGCCTCAGCCTTCCAAGTAGCTGGAACTACAGGCGTGCACTACCACGCCCAGCTAATTTTTGATTTATTGTAGAGATGAGGTCTCACCAAGTTGCCTAGGTAGTTGTTTAATGTCCACTTATGAGTGACAACATGTGGTATTCAGGTCTTTGTTTCAGTGAAAGATCACTCAGTATTATAAACTCTAATTCCATCCAGGTTGCTGCACAATTCATGATTTTGTTCTTCTTAATGACTGTGTAATATTCCATTGTGTGTATGAAACACATTTTTTTAACCAGTCCTCTTTTGATGGGCAGCACAGTTGGTTCCATGTTCTTGCTATTGTGAACAATGCTGCAATAAACATACATATGCAGGTATCTTTTTTATAGAGTGATTTGAGTTCTTCCGGGTATATTCCTAGTAGGGGGATTGTGGGGTCATATGGAAGATTTATTGTGAGAACTTTTAGGAATCGCCACACTGTTTTCCACAGAGGCTGTATTAGTTTACACTCCCACCAACAGTGTAGAAGTGTTCCCTTTTTGCCACATCCTCTCCAGCATCTGTTATTTTTTGAGTTATTGATGATGGTCAATCTGACTGGAGTTAGGTGGCATATATTTTTTCAAAATAAATTCTGTGACCTATTAGTGAGTCTTGAAATTAAATAACAGTTAATAGCAACACTATTTTTTGGTTAGTGTTGTTAAAAACACAGTAAAAAATGTCAGCATAGTAAGGATGAATTGTTTTATGGAACTTATTTAAATTACACATATCTATGTGCACTGGAATGCAGTACAGAATGCTTTTCCCATGGTTGTTTATAGTAAAAAAAAAAAAAACTGTGTAGAAGATGCCTCTATCAAAACCGTACCTTTGAAGTTATCATCAACCAGATTCTAAGTCCCAGAGTCCTTTATTCTTTGTCACCCAGACAGTGTGTGGATAGTTTGTCTTTGCAGTTGTTCCTTTGTGAAATGTTTAAGGTTGTTACTTTTTTCTCCATTTAGATTTTTGCTCTCTCAATCAACCACAAACAAGAAAACATCGTATGGTACTTCACAGCTCACCTGCTCCTTCATATGATCTCATTTAAGTCTGAGAATGCTGTGAGGTAGGAATCACCTTCACACTTGGGCTAAGTTACTGCCCACGATTCCAACGCCTAAAGCAAGAAAGCCTGGGTTATTTCTGCTCCACCACACTAAGCCCAAAAGGAAAGAAGCAAAGACCTTCTCAGTCTATATTCCCAGAGGCTCACAAGAGGAGAATGGCATGCCTGAGAATAATGGTGGGGAAAGAAGTGCCCATGAGAAGTTCTAATTTCCAACCAAACAAGAAGAGATGCTCAAACTGGCTGTCTGAGAAAATGTAGTTGTGCTAGAAAGATATGTTCACTCTCTCTGCCCTGTAGTACCATGTTTCCTGAAGACAAAGTTGCAGAGGTGCAGCCTTCTGTGGGGTTTCTCAAAGTGTGGCCCTAGAACCACATGCATTGACTCTGAAGTACCTGGCTAAACAGCAGACTCCAGCCCCACCAGACCTCTGACCTCAGCCCTACCATATCAACTCTTTAAACGATGGGGTCCAGGAATGTGTATTCTTTTTTGTTTGTTTGTTTTGGTTTTTTTTGAGTTGGAGTCTCACTCGGTCGCCCAGACTGGAGTGCAGTGGCCGCTCCCGGCCACCGCAGCCTCGACCTGCTGGGCTCCGGCGATCCTTCCGCCTCAGCCTTCCGAGTAGCTGGAATTACAGGCATGCGCTACCATGCCCGGCTGATTTTTTTGATTTATTGTAGAGATGAGGTCTCACTGCCCAGGCGGGTCTCGAACCCGCGGACTCAGGCAATCCACTCTCCTCAGCCTCCCAAAGGCGCGGGATTACAGGCTGAGCCACCGAGCCCAGCTGGAATGTGTATTCTTAAACCAGATTGCCCTCCCACATAACTACTATGCTTCTAAAAAGTTTAACACTGACCTAAAGATTTCCATATCCTGGCCAACACTTGCTTGACTTCCAAAGTCACCCATACTGGGTTCCTACTTTAAAATAAGGACTGAGAGACTGCATTTTTCACAAGCTCCAGTCCCGTTCCCCAGGTTATACTGGTTTTGAGAACCACTGCTTTGAATGATAACTAATCAGAATTATTTCAGGCTTCATTTCAAATAACAAGTTAGCCAGAGCGACAAAGGAAATGATCATAGAAAAATAATACATGAAGAAATGCCAGAGATACAGCAGAAAAGGCCAAGGCCATTCGTATGTTGAAAAATTGGGGAAGAAAAAGAAACTGAATTGGTCTAGAATTGCACAGCCAGTGCCAGGTCTGGGGAAAACCAAGAAGAGAATAAAATCTGTTCTTGAGTTCCTCCCTATAACCTTTCCCTTTGACTCTTATAAGACCCCAGCTGGCCAAGTGGTATCCTGTTAGTTTAGAAAATAGGTTAGATAAAATAATCCATATTAAAGTATTAATGACAATTTGAATTTACCTCCCAGAAGAACAAGCTTTTGAATTCTCTTTTTAATAAGGGTCACTACCAGAGATCTTAATTCAAAAGAAATTACCTCTAGGTGGAATTTCAGGTACTAAAGAAAACAAGTGGGTATGGGTAGAAGGAGGTGGGGTCAAGAGGAAGAGGAACTTATCTTGTATTCAAAATACATGAGAGGAAAGTCTCCCCTCTGTGTAAGCCAAGACCACACCCATCATTCACTGAGTACCAGCTATGTCTCAGGATAGAGCACCCCGGTCCTGCTGGCTATGGGGTCATCCAGAAAACCAAGGAACATGGTTCACATTAGTGAGGGGAGGGGACAAGGTTATGGTGGACAACAACTAGTTTTAAATGACCCAAGTCTATGCTGTGTTACACCAATGAAGCTTCTGATATGTTTTCAACATGCTCCTTAGATTTTTATATTAGCCAGATGGCATCCCAATTATCACTCAGTGTCTTTTAAAATAAATCACTGTCACTTCTTTGAAAGTAACAACATGATCTTATGCAATCAGAACTCCTTGGGGAGTGTCCAAAGACAAGGCACCAGACTCTCCTCAGAATTTAACCACAAAACCTTTACTGAAAGAAAAAAAAAAGCCATGTAAAATCTGGAGCTAAGTGTCTCCATTTTGAACCTGCTATGCCTGTGGCTGACTCTGGGGATCTGACCACACTGGGCTCCTGAGAGTCAGAGAGGGAAAGCACTTGGTGCTCATAAGCACTGAACAGGGAGGTGAGGAGTACCTGTGCACCTGAGACAGATAGGAAGTCCAGGCCTCATCTTTGGCCTGCAGTTACACACTTTGGCACACTTCTCTCCCCGTCTCTCAGTCTTTTAAGAAAAGCAAAGTAGCAGCACAAGTTACCAAGCAATCTTATAAACAGGATGTGGGTTCAAATGAGTATTTTATATTGCATCTTCTAAAGTCAACCCTGTTTTTTGTTGGTTTTTTTTAAGTGACTCCACTCAGTGAGCTCAAAACTGGACACTAAGAAAGCAGCACATCTAGAGAAACAAAAGAAATGGGAAACAAGAGGGCCTGCAAAGCACCGTAGAATCTTACTCCTCTCTCACCAAGTCATTGTGATAGGTCTTCAAACTCAAATGAGGCCTATTTCTACATTTATTTGCTTCTCAGGGAACTTTAGCAAACAACTCCCAAGTTAGTTTGGCTTTCTATATCAAACTCACAACATATGAAAAATGTAGTTGAGGCTACAATTTCACACCTTTTTTCCTGAAAGACTGTTTAGAGTGAGTTCTACAAAAGGTCCCAGAAGTAAACATCATGAATTATCCTAAAGAAAGAATGTTAGGTGAAGTATGTATAATTATTCATACATATATTATATAGAAGTCAGATATAAATTACATACAGTATTTGCAAAATGAACTGTCTACTAATTTTTAACATATATGTATATAGTGTAACATTAGGAAAACATATTAAGGAAGGATGACAAGAACTAAAACTATGAACTATAAATATCTAATTAAAAAATACTGTGCCTGCTGGCCTTGAGTGAAACATCACACTCCATTCCATGTTTAAATGGTGTTAGTTGCCCTAATCAACAGCTTCAACCATAGGACCAGGTGACTCATTCCTCCTATAGTTACATCTCTGAGGCCAGAAGACAAAAATGACAAAGAGCGTGCAAGAAAAGTTTACTTTGCTGTGTCTTAAAAATCTGTAGGCAAGAGAGGGCCAAGATAAGTTTAGCCTGTTTATCACATGCTGGAATTCAACTCAAGTCATTTCACATCCATCTCCTATTGCTGTAAATGTATACAGCAGGCACTCCATGCAAACTGACGCCAATGTTGGCAAAATATAACAAAGCTTCCTTTCTAATGTGTCAAACAGATTAAAAAAAAAAAAAAATCTGGGCTCCAAGAACACATATCTTGGAGCACTGAGCTCGTGCAGGCAATCAGCTAGTTTTAATATCTCCTAAAATCCTAATTTCAAGCTGGAAAGATTTCTGGGCCCCATCAGTGAGCACCGCTCCGCGGTCTTCCCAGCCCCAGATTACTGGAGACAATGCATCGAACACGGCTGGGGACGGTAGAGGATACCTTCGCGATCGTTGCTTCCAGAGAAAGGCATGCAAGTCTCCTTTTAATGGCAAGAATCACTTACTCTGTTACAGCGGTGCTGCTGAAGGAATTATCCTGAAGGCTGAAACAGAAACAAGAAAACATCAGCCAGGTCCGGCCGGGGAGCCGTCTCCCTGATTGCTCTCCGGGAGTCAGAGCACGCACACAAACATGGCATTGCAAGGCAAGTCTCCGGGCTCGCCCGGCACGCTCGCTCTACCTTGGGCTGCGGTCTGCACATGCTCGTCACGACACCCCCAGCAGGGGCCCAGCCGCACGGGCGAACCACAAAGCCCGGCAGCCCGCGAGGCTCCGGGGCCAGAGATGGGCGGGGCGCGGCGGCGGGACCCGGACCCCGGAGCCCGCCCGCCC